ACAGGTGACGTAGCTTTTCACGTGGGGGGGCCTTACCTACGTCACGCTTACGTGACCCATCCGTACGCCAGTCATCCATACGTCAGTCATCCATACGCCAGTCACCCATACGTCAGTCATCCATACGCCAGTCACCACCCATACGTCAGTCATCCATACGTCAGTCATCCATACGCCAGTCATCCATACGCCAGTCATCCATACGTCAGACATCCATACGTCAATCATCCAAGGTTCAATCATCCATACGTAACCCCTATATCAAGTGACAGCGAGAAACCCGTTACATGAAAAGTTAATAATTAGATTTCTTTTAAAGACATATTACATATGACAGATTTTAAAAAAAAATATCCAGCACATTTTTTTTCAATCTCTAATTTTCAAAAGCTCAACTTTCCATTACTTACTCCCCACCACATATCATCCATTCCTCTCATTCATTCCTCCCATCCATCCTCAACTTCATACTCCCCTCTTCCATTCCTCCCATCAATCCCTCAACTCCATACTCCACTCTTCCATTCCTCCCATCCATCCCTCAGCTCCATACTCCACTCTTCCATTCCTCCCATCCATCCTCAACTTCATACTCCCCTCTTCCATTCCTCCCATCCATCCTCAACTTCATACTCCCCTCTTCCATTCCTCCCATCAATCCCTCAACTCCATACTCCACTCTTCCATTCCTCCCATCCATCCCTCAACTCCATACTCCACTCTTCCATTCCTCCCACCCATCCCTCCACTCCATACTCCACTCTTCCATTCCTCCCATCAATCCCTCAACTCCATACTCCACTCTTCCATTCCTCTCATCTATTTCACACACTGCCTTCTATTTACTTGGCATTGACGTCAACTCCAATTTCATTTTTTTCACCTCTCGACGTCTTTCCAATGAAGTTTCTCCTCCTCCCACACCCCCCACACCCCTTCATCGTGTAATTCCCCCCCGCTCCCTACATCCCGACCCCCTTGCATCCCCACCCCCTGGGCGTGAATAATCCAGGCCAGGCTGAGACAAGCGCTGCGCCATTTTTCTTGTTTTTTGCCCCTGCAGTTCTTAACAGTGGCCGCACTGTGGGACAGCTTGGCCATTGGCTGATTTAGCCTTGGAGAAATCACATCAGATGTCCCCCTTGCCATTGGCTCGATACTGACACGTGCTGGGGGTGGGGGTGGGGGGGTTTGAGGGGCAGATAAATGACAAACTATACGTGATATGGAGATAACTCTCGATTAGGGGAGGAAATAACTGCTGGACACTCGCGGGGAAAGATATCTGGGTGACTCTGACCAGAGGGAAGTTTGATGAGCTGGGGTGGAAAAAAAAAAAAGGGGGGGGGG